CCTAGTAAAGGATAATCCAAGAAGATATAAAGAAGAGAACTCAGTGAAAGGGTTGTCATTTATTAATATATGGATGTTAAAAGTGAGAGCTGTAGTGTAAATTAGATATCTTAAATCACAGTGAAATATGGGAATAAAGAAATCACATGCAACTGTGCATTATCAAGAAATATTAAACTACTAAAAAAATTGCTGATAAGCTTTGCACAGGCTGGATGAGGAAAATTAAATCATTGCATCATCAAGCTATTCTTCAAAAAACCAAACTGAATCCTAAAACAAGTGCTTTAAAACTTGCTGGAATACTGCAAAATTTTTTCAATTTAAAAAGGGATCCTGAAACTGTATAAAAAAATGACCTTAAGAAGTGCACAAAAAAGAAAAACACAAAACATGTATCCAACAAAGATGCACAGTGGAGGAAGTGCATTAGTGTGGGGTGCATGAGTGCTCCAGGTATAGTAAGCTTGGTACTCATTGATTGAATTACGGATCAGTATGTCTATTTAAACATTCTGAAAAAAAATCTAGAAGAAAGTTTAAAAAAAATGGGACATCATGGGTCATTTATTTTTCAGTAAGATAATATATAGATAATAAAGATAGAGTCAAAATATAAAGCCAAATGTGTCAAGCAATGGCTCATTTAAAATAGCCAACCAACTTCATCTCCCCTCCCCTCCATCCTTCGCCTCACCCATATACAATCTCCAGATTTAAATCATATCAAACATTTTTGGGATTACCAAAAGTTAGTTTGCACTATGAAAAGCAGACTACATGAGGTAATAAAAGCTCATTGTGAGCGCTCTAGTCATTAGAACACTACGGAATTGAGTTTTTGGCACAAAAAGGGACATTTTTTATTTCAAAATTCTGGTTATTTATTACTTTAAAAAATCTTTTTGTACAATATTTCTTGAATGTTTAATTTGTATAACTCAGTTGAAATTATGCTTATATCTTTGCTGAATTAAAAGTTATCACAGTTGAAAAATATACAAAATAGGTTAATAAAAACTTTTTTATATATACAACACAGTGCGTGTGTGTATATATATATATATATATATATATATATATATATATATATATATATATATATATATATATATATATATATATATATATATATATATATATATATATATACATATATATATATATATATAAATTTTTTTTTGATGTTTTTCAAGGTCTCGAGTGACAACTAAAATTGCTATTTGCTAATAACAATTTGTTAACAATTTGTTAACAGTTTGTTAATAATCTGTTAATCAATTTGTTAACAATTTATCAAATGCCTTAATTAAATGACTATAATTAGGAAAAAAACTTTTGAAATGAACTAATTTTTGGTGTTCAAATGGAAACGAAATAATACAAACAATAAATTGTTATATTTATGAAATTATTTTTGGAAGTTTACAATTTATTGATGGATATTACAGAGGTGTATACTGGATTTTTAGATGTTTAGGTTTTTACAGTTACAGGCATTGTGCAAACTCCAAACTTTTGTATATTCATGCTTATGACAAATAAGAATGTTTTGCAAAAACTTGTGGTGATTGGATCTTGGGAACAAAAAAACCCTAATTTTTGGGCCCATTTAGCCCTTAATGTGGGAGTAACAAATTTATAAAATATTTTCTTTACTATTTTTATCTAAATTTATATTCATCAACAAATTTCAAGTTTCATGCAATAGTGTCTTTGTGTTTATTTTATATGACCCTGCAAAGTTTACAGCCTCCTTAAATTGAGGGGGGGGGGGGGGTTAAAATAGTTGAAGTTTTCGAAAAATATTTTTTGTTTTTGCAAAATGTTCTTATTTGACATTAGCATGAACATACAAAAGTTTGGAGTTTGCACAATGCCTGTTAATGTCAAAACTCAATTATCTAAAAATCCACTCTACACCTCATATTAATTTAGTTAAGAATAGTAAAATAATTATTTTAACCCATTTAAAAAAAAAAAAAAAATTGAAATGGAGGTGGAACCGTTGCAAAAAAATATTGAGAAAAGCAAAACGGTTTTGTGATTTGTTAGCTAAGGAGGAACGGTGTTCCCCTGCGTTCCTCCTACTTTAACCCCAGTATGTATGCATGTATATATGTATGTATGTATGTATGTATGTATGTATGTATGTATGTATGTATGTATGTATGTATGTATGTATGTATGTATGTATGTATGTATATATATAAATACAAGCCTTCCCAGGAAACACATGGGGTTTTTCCTCTCAAATGTCCACGCATGAATATTTTATTTTAGACAACTTGGTCATGGCTGTTTAAAAGTTTTTTTATATTAAGTGGAAAAAACAAAGAAAACATAACTAACAAAATAGGAAATTTTGTTAGTTATGCTAAGTTAGGAAATAAAAATAGAAAAAATTAATAATAATTTAAATAATTTGTGTACTGTTTTATTTTCGTATAAGGCCTATTTATATAAGGCATTTTTTTCATGCACATAATGTCTGTATTTCGAATCCCACCTCTTTCTAAATTATTATTGTTTTTCTACCCTCCACAATCTTTTGGTCTACTATTTTATTAGTAAAATATATGTAAACAATTAATAACTATTATTAATAATTGCATAACAAT